ATACACGTATGAGTAGATTATTTACTAAAAGAAGAGGAAAATTAATCATCAATTACTTGCTGCAGAGACACGGAACGCGGTTTACAATACTGTTGATACAAACGATAAATACAATTCTTTTTTTTTTTCAACGCTTTCATTTCATTTTAAAACTTATTTTCTTCCTCAAAAGAGAAAATTAAATACTTCACGCAAAAGCAATTCTTGGATAACACAAGAGATTACAACATCATGTAAAAACAAACGAATTCTTTTTATCATTTCTAAGCATCATAATGTATCGCAAGGTTTCCTCCTCTACTTTAAAAAATACAAATCATTTTTGAGAAAAGTCATACTTCAGGTTAAAATCATGAAACATGAGCAAGCTTTTTTAGACTCAAATAATAAAACAAAAGCAATGTGGAATGTAGTAAAATATTCGACAACATCAACTAGAAACCTTGTAGATAATGTTGTTTTAAAAGATAACGATAGAAATGTGAACGATCCGGCAACAGTGGCTAGTCTCTTTAACAAATACATTTCGAGAATTGTTGCCGATCTCACTAAGGGTCTCCAGCCACAAAATTCAACATCAGATGTTTCCTCAAAAATTTTTGACACGATATTCGTTTCCGAAACTTCTTTTGATGGGATTCACAAAATAATCGGTAGACTAAAAAATAAATATTCGGCAGGTTTAGATGAATTTCCGGATTGTTTGTTGAGGGCTTGTGCGCCCGTGAGTATACACAAGTTAACTCCACACCAATATTCTTTACAATAAATAACCGTAAATGATACAATATCAGATTTTCAGTATGGTTCCGTAGTGACTAATAAATAGTAAATGAGAAGAAAACGGTTTCAATGAAGCTTTCAATCATTTCAAATGCACAGCTCTGTACTCTACTGAAAATGATCGGTGTGCCATTGACTGATGTTAAGGTTTTGACATTTTTAGGTTTTTCAACTCAGTCAACCCGTAAATGGAACGTCTATTTAAATTAATTGAACACTAAATTAAGTTCTTATGCTACACTTTCAGAATTCTTTCAAATTCAGTCACCCTACACACTGGTCGTTGTGTATATTTCGCGAATGTTCATTCCCGCTTGAGATATGGCATAATATTCTGGGGAAATACATCTTACATCTCCCAGACTTTTAGATTACAAAAAAATTGTACAAATAAGCAAATACCACCCACGTTATTCTTGTAAGTCTCTTTTTATCAATCAAGGTATCTTACCATTACCTTGTCTCTTTATATATGAATCATTGTTTTTTTGTCAAAAATTACTTACTTAAGGGCAGGAATATATTTTCAGAAAACGCCGATGTTTATAACCACAACACTCGACATAGTAACCATATTCATCAGGTGACAGTATCAACAGTTTTACTACAAAAAATGCACTTGCAATATATGTACATTATTTTACAACACCTTGCCAGATGACGTTAAATGATTAAATTCTATACAAAAGTTATAGTCCCAAGTAAAATCTTTTCTACTGCACAACTTTTTCTATACAATTAGAGACAATATCGTGCTTCCAAAAGGAAAGTAGTATTAATTTTAACAACGATATATAGTGTATTATTTACTATTTGGATTGTATAATTTTAAAGAACCTGTAGCAAGTATTGTACTTCAGCTTCTGCTACCCACCTCGATCAGGTTTCCGTCCAGTTTCCCTGATCCTTGAGTAAATGCTGCTATAGCCCCTTGTTTTGCTTCTAGACATAAATGTAACTTTAAATTAACTTCTTCCCGTAGCACGCCACAAACAGTTTTCATTTGTTTTTGACGTAAATAAATAAACAAAATAAATAAAACCAATTTTGGGATGTGCTTTTATTTTTTTAATATGTTTTTTAAAATAGTACCTACGGTCTTCTTGCATAAACCACTGAAAAGACGCGGACAGGAATTGTTATGGAGTTTTATTACTTTTTTGAGGGTAATGAGTAATCCACGTAGTGAAATTTTGAGCATTACAATAATTCATCCTAGATTAGAACACTTAAATTGTGAGTTAATCATTGGGGAGATGATGTTGAAACATTTAAGTGTGTTTCTAACTGGTAATTATTTAGAAATTTTGAGGTAACTGTTCTTGTCCCCTGTTGCATAGTGGCCTTGCCCTTGTGGTTCTGACATAGAAACCAACGCAAACGGACATTTGTATCATAATATCAACCATAACGTAAGTCATTAACCCAGAAAGGCTGAAAATGAGTCTAATAATTACTTTCTGTTAAAAAACACTCATATATGGTCGGTCCACAGGCAAAGTTACAGAACTAAAAAGTCGCTATTTTTTTAATTCAATGAAGAAGTATGTTTAGAATAATGAAATCCTAGTCTTCCACGGCCAGAGTAATGTACATGATCTTGGCTGTCCGGGCAGTTCGGGTGACTTAACTGTCCGGTCCGGGATGTTTAGTATAGTTATTTTTACTGGTCGAAATTTCATAACGATCGATCCGCAGACATCTTCTATCTAATGTTAAATTAATCTATGTTAAATTTATATGTTAAATGTAATGTTCACAGTGAAATAATCGCCACCGCTCAAGATAAAACAATTTTCCTAGAAAATGACGTTTGTATCGTGTTGCTTTTTTTGAGCACCGACAATATGTCATCCAAGGAACGGGTCTCTACCTAAAATGTATAGCAATATCGCACAAAGCGTGCTCGAGGAGAGCATTTACGCGCCTGGATCCTTCTCCACCTGACATGGCCGTCGCGCCAGCGACCCAGCGTTCCACCCGTGCACGCCACTGCCCCGCCCCGCCACGCCCCGTGCCGCACCGTGCCGCACGGCTCGCAGTCGACCCGCCGCAGTTCCCAAACGCTGGCGCGCTAGCCCGTTCAAGAGGGGTTACGTTGTTTTTGGAGGGATATGCGAACTTTTGCTTCATTGATTTTCCGGTGCTCTCCCAAACTGCGACGAGGCTTCGCTACAACAGCTCTGCTGCTGCTGCTGCTGCTGCTGCCGGCGGCGGCGAAGGGGAAAAAGGCAGCAGAGCCGCGACCAAGCAGCAGCTGCGGAGAGGCAAATGCGGATGATTCCAGCTTGCGTATGACGGTTCCCGTATAAAATATTGTGCGTGTTTTGTTCTCGGAAAGGTGATTGGCCGATATGAAAATTAACGTGCGTGAAGAGCACTAATAACCTGTAATGTAGTAGGTCGGCACCTCGCTTCATAATCACGAGGACTAAAAAATGGGTTTCTATTCAAATATCGGTCAGGAATTATACATACTGATCTGACTTTCTTAATCAAACCATTTTATAAGAAACACTTGTGTCTAGTATGCGAATAGATTTACCTTCGTTTAATATAGATTTTTTTTCAACATTATCCAAACCTAAGTCGTAGGCTTCCGCGGCCAGATTCATGCACATTATCCAAACTTATATTTAATAGTCTTGTGGTATTTGTATAAAAATCACTACTGGCGTACTTATTATTTCAAACTCTGTACTTTATTCATTCGATTTATTTATTCAATGAACAGCAAAAACTAAATGTGACTTGGGAGCGAGAAGTACCATCTGTGCACGCTTTTTTTGAGCTTCAGTATCTAGTCCCAACATTTTAACAATAAATAGTTGAATAACGAATAAAAGTTTCAAAAAAATCGAAGTTAGCCAGTTTTGAAAACTAGACATATTTGCTCCCGAGTTATAGAAAACTTATTTTCATCGGTAATAGAACTGATTTTTTTTTTATTTTTGCTAACAAAATAATGGCGCCTCCCCGGCTCTACTCCTACCTCTACTAGCAATAGATAAACTCAACAAAATGTGCGCATACTGAAGCTACAGAAGTACAGAAGCAAAACAAGGTAGTACAGACAAAAACCTGAGCGAGACTTCCTGTATTTGTGTGGCTTTAGAAATGTCCATTACGAGATAGAAGTAATTGGCATTCGAATCAAGCGATGCACGTATAATAAATTTTCAATTATTCAATTTCTGCTATGAAGCAGGAAAATAAAAGTTTTGCTGGCACATTTTTCATTTTAGGGTTTTGGAAATCTCATTGAACTATTACTTTAAGGTCATTAGATACGCAATCTATTCTGTGCCCTCCAAAATAAGTTATTATTTGTAATTATACTACCGACATCATTCACTTAACGCACACAAATATAAAATAAGTATATCAAAAAATATATGGTTCGGAATGCAATATAATAAAATTATTAACAAAATATTTCAAGAACTAAAAACGAAATTTGTTTTAATTAAATGTTTGTTGATAATCTTTCCTTACTAAAGCCCTCGCAAGGCTGACAAACAACTGAAACTAGAAAATAAATGAAATAAACCTGATTGGGCCATAAGCAATTACATTTCTTCGTAAACTGCCAAACAGGTATTCTCAGCCTTTCCTCTCTCTCTATCACAACCCAATCACAATATTGCGTTGGAGCCTGACTCCCCATCCCTAGAGGCTACCCCATAGTCCGCCTCTTAGCGGTCGCACCCCACCGCTCAGTACTGCTGCGCTGCAACGCGCCGCACCGCGCAGCCCCACCCCATCCGTCCCGCCTCACACGCCTCGCCCCCGCCCCGCCACACCCAAACCCACCCCCCACCCAACACCCTCCCCACCCCACCACCGCCCCAACACCGCCCTCCTTTTTCCCGCGCCCCTCCCCACCGCTCGCGATTCTCGCTACCCATCTGTCCGCCGTTGCCCTACCGCTACACTACCGTGTCCTTCTCCCACTCTGCCCCGCATCTCCCCCTTTCCGCTACGTCCCGTTCCACCCCACCCGCCATGCCCCGTCCCAGTTGCGCTTGCTGCAGCCGCTGGGTTGCGTAGCGTCGGCGGCCGGCCGGCAGGCAGCCAGGCTGGCACGGCGGCGCGGAGTAGGGATTATTTCGATGAGCTGAAACTTGCATGGCGCGCTCGCGTCGAAGGCGTAATCTTCTGCGAAGTGCGTCATCGTCGATGAGCGCGTGTGCGCGCGACGGCAAAATCACTGGCGCATGGGCGGCATGTCGACGCGGGATGATTTGAATGCCGTCATCACGCTGCGGTGGCCCGGCCCGGGAGAGGGAGGTCGACGGCCGTATAACGAGTACGTCCGAGAAGTTGATGGGACGCGATGCCTGAAAATGGCACACGTGTTTTTTATGCCCGTGATTTAAAGCCGAGGCGGGTATGAAACGTGAAAATGCCGTGATTTTTTGCTGTCTGTGTTTATGATTTTCGTAGTTTCTATGCGAACAGAGAGCGTTTCTGAGTGGTCGGAATCAAACGTACATTGGTACGTTTGCAAAGTTCTTATGAGAACGAGCATAATCAAAATATATGTTTAATAGAAACTGTATTAGCAACAAATGTAGAATGAAATCGTTATATCTGTTTACCCTGTAAGGTCTGTTAACTTTTCACATCGAGATAAAATTTTTGTGTCATCTTAATATGTGAAGATGGTGTTCTCCTGTTTAAATTAATTAAATTAACATGGCTAATGCTCTGCTCTGACTAGTGGCCCACGCTATTACATCAGCACTAATTATCTGTTTTGTCAGTTTCATTAAAAGTTTCTTCAGTTCGTAGGCAATAAAAAACTTTCCCGAACTTTTCTGACACGCATCCATTTGTAACACTGTAAATCATGTTGCATGTTCTTATTACCGAACCACGTGCAGAAAGTTTGGACAGATAATTAAGAAGTACAGATTGTAGGCGTTTGTTAAAATAATGCATCGTAATATATTGATTTATTTTTCGATGGCTTCAAAACAGGAAAGCAATTCGAAATATAATAAATATCATTAGCCTAAACTTCCGTTATTCCCTTTGTTAAAGTTGAAGAAATTATTTATAAAATGTCTAATCGCTGATAAAATTAATCCGAGTCTAAAGTACCCTAAAATGTACTTCGATACTAACGAATATTTTCATAACATCTGTTTGTAGAGGAAGAGTACATAATTTTGAAAGTATCGCTTCAAAATGTAGGGTAAATCTTGGTAGCAATAACAATACTCGTAGTTACGAGGAATATTTCGGCAATGGAGTTTCTCAGTCCGGATGGTGTATAGTAGTCACTGTATTAATTTAGTTATTTTCCACTCTCAACGACACCGCTGATTTTTATTACGTGAAATAGTGTATGAAAATCACAATATACAATAGTGAAATCTTTCAAATATTTGCCTTTTCATGCTGTGTTTTCGAAGAGTATCTAAAACTGGTATGCATCTTACATAGAAGTTCATTTAAGTGTGTATGTTGTTAAGTTGCGCTATTCAGTTGAATCTACATATCTGATCTTTCTTTATTACTCGCTTTCTTGTTAGTTATGCATATAGCAAAGAAATTTTTATCTTATTGATTTAGGTCTAGAAATAATTATTAATATATCATAATATAAGTTATCTAATTTACCTCTTTAGCATAATATAATTAACGTACTCTGCCGTGCAGCCGTCAAGGTTGCAGAAACAATTAAAACATATGCTGTAAAGCATTTCGAAAAAAATCGAAGATAGAATTTTTGTGCAGATAGCTTCTTCAAAAACCGAATGCAAGGGCGGATGCGAATTTGTGTGGTAACTTTAAAGAGTGTACGAGAGCCTTTTGCCTTCATCAAATAATTCACTTGTTACGGAGAGAACACGTAAAGTTCTTCACCCCATAAACTCTTACATACCATAAAGCTGTTATCACAGTGTGCATTCGCAGGGGAGGAACAGCCAGTAAAGTAGCGAAAAGCTACTCAAACAAGTGGCGTCGGCAATCGCAGATAAGAGCGCCCCATCACTTCGGATGCCGCAGCTGCCGTCACTCGCGGCGTCCTTCGCCGCAACGCGGGGCGTGAGACTTCTCCCTCTGTCTCTCTTTCTCTACCGCGCCAAGGCATGCCATGTCATGCTACGCTACGCCACGCCATGCCACGCCATGCCACGCCATGCCACGCCATGCCTCGGCACACATCGCTCCGCCACGCCCCGGGAGCTCCGCTATGCCTTCCTCAGCCCCTCCACGCCTTGCCACGCCATGCCACACCTCGTCCTGCCCCACCACGCCCCACGCCGCTACCTCGGCACGTCACGCAATCCACGCCTCTCCACGCCCTTAACAGCACCCCCTCCCCTCTCGCCCCCCACGCTATTACGTTCGCCATGTCCGTCACGCCCGCCACGTCACCTCACGCCACTCCAGCCACGTCACACCACGCCACGCCAAGCCACGCCACACCACGTCACACCACGCCACGCCACGCCACGCCACGCCACGCGACGCCACGTCACACAAGCCCCGCCAATCCGAGACACGCCGCGACACGCCACGCCACACCGTATGGGAGGCGCAACCGCTGCCGGCGCGGAGCGGCGCGGAGCGGCGCGGCGGCTCAGCAAACTGGTCGGCGCTGATTTCCGCGATTGGCGCGCCCCGGGCGTGAAAGGAAGTCGGGGCCGCGGAGAGCGGACGCAGCCGGAGTTAATGAGCTCGGGGGGAGATGAGGCTCGTAAATTGTGGATTGGGAGGAATTATACGAGGGGTAGCCGAATTTTCAAATGCCATATCAGGGAGTGGGGAACTACGGACACAGAAAGTTCTCTTCGTTTTCGAATCCAATAAAGAAAGCATCTAAAACTTCATACTCAGAATAATATTTTTACTATAAATATTATGTCATTTTCTCTTTTCTTGCAATAACTTCATCTGGTTTCGTTATAATTTAATCTTGTGAGAGCATGTCATTATTTAAGAATTGAAGTGCAATAATGTATAGATATTATTAAATAGAGCAGTCAGAGGTATGATTTTGTGAAAATCAATAAGATAACATCTATTCCATATGTTGTTTATAAAATCGTGTTTCCCAAGAAATGTAAATATTTCTAAAAAACTATACTGGTGTGAAAATTTGAAGCCTTGTGAATGAAGTAAGTACTGTACATAAAATATATCGTGAAAGTTACAACAAGAGTATCTTCATTTCAATATCAATTTTTTATTGCGTTATTTATGAAAATGTGTGTGTGCTGCCCAGAACGTAGAATATTTTGTATTTACAGTTGTATTTTCATTGTGATTCTAGAAAGAGCGAATGCTACTTTCTAATCGGTCGTATGTATGTTTTATATTTAATCGTCTTGCTTACATGTATTACCTTAGATTTACGTCACTTCGGTATTTATGCGGGTGTTGTAAGAGAATTGTCAGAATGTAAATGTGTTGTACATGATTTAATCCCGTAATGACTGAATCGACCTACTTATCACCCCACGTAAAAACGCGATATCTGGTGCTCGGATCAGCGGAGTACTATAAACCAAAGGGCACGTTCCTCCCCGGCAGTGAGGATAATGCCATCCGTCCCACTCCGTTTCCTCCTTGCCTGAGCCCTCGGCCTGGTCCGGCCCGGCCCGGCCCACCTCGCACCTGACCCTTTCCGACCCACGTCACCTCCCCCCAGCCGTCGGGACCCGTCACGTCCCGTCGTTCCGTTTCTGCCCCCGACGCCGAGCGGTCGTGCTCGCGCATGATATAGTCATCTCGCATGTCTCTAACTCTTGCTGTTCTCTTTTCTTTGCAGGTAAGTGTGGGAGCCGCGGCTTTGCTGGGTGGTAACGTAGCGATGCGGCCTGCGTGGGCGGCAGCGCTGCTGCTGCCGCCGCCGCCGCAGCTCCACGCCCACCCACGTAAGCGCGCTCCAGCGGCGCCGACGCGACTCCCGGCAGGCAGCCCTGCGCCACGGACCGCCCTCGCCGCCCGCGGGGCAGGGGAGAGTGGGGGTGGGGGCACGCTTCGCAGCAAAGCGGAAGTGGTAAACAGAGCAGTGGGAAATATCTGTGGAATCACGTGTTAATGAGTGGACGAGTTGAGTCCCGCCCTCAAAATATCCTGTGGGCTAGTGCCGCTTTCTCCGAACATGCTCATGATGCGTATTGGAAAAGGGAGACCAGATAAGTCCGGAGGGGTTCTTGAAAAGTTTTATGCTTTTGAAGGATTTATAATTATTTTGGGCAATATCTATAATATGTAAATATATATCAAAACTTTTCTTAAATTAGAAAATATGAATAAAGTTCATACAATTTTAGAAACTATCCAATATAAACAATTACAATACTATGAACATGTTAAAAGAATGAAAGAAAATAGAATTACAAAAATTATTTTAGAGTGGACTCCTGTGTGTCAGAAGACAAGAGGAAGATCTAAACATAGCTGGTTGAGAGAATTTAAGGGACTTTTGAAAGAGAAGAATTAACAGGCCAGAATTATGAATAACGGGACAAGTGAAAAAATAAAATTAAAATTATAATAAGTGTTACAATTTTTTGGTAACAGAAAGTTGTTTATTAACAATGTAAAGTTAATGTAAACAATGTAAAATAAGTCAACTCTTCGTTACATTTTGTTACGTTTCATGAACGAAACACATTCATATCCTGAGGTGTATAGAACTGTATATTACACCCACACATACAATTTTAAAAAAAAATAAAAAAAGCATTTAATCGCAATGTAATCGTTATGAGAACAAAGAAATCGGTTTACAAATTTTAAATTATAAAGTGTAATAACTCAGCACAATATTTACCATGTCGTAAAACGTTTCTACAGAAATTAATTTTATATTGTAGGTCACACAAAAATCATACAAATTTCATAATATAAGCTATTCATTTCTCTTAGTCCTTCTTTCCACCAAAAAGTATATTATCTAATTGTTAACTATTATACGAACCAATGGCACAAAATAGCATTCACTTTTAAAACCGAATTGTGTTTCAGACATATTACATTTCGTGTTTAGAAAGCTGATAAGAGCGCGTATTTTACTCTAATGCTGAATTTTTGCATCGCACTTTTTGCAAGAAAGTACATTTCAAACTACAAGAATGGAATATGTGACGTTTTGTTAGCGTTTGTAATGGACTTATTTACGTGTACTTACAATAGGTGCATCTTTCATTTACACGAACATATTTTGGTATCATTGACTTTCTTAATACTCCCTATTTTGTGTTTAATTGCTCGTGACATAAACGTGTATGTTGCTGAGGACAGGTAGTGCATTAATAAATAGCCCCAAATTATCATATCAATTTTCATATTTCTCAAAAGATCATAGCTGGTGTATTTGGAAAACAACGATCACTCGCTTAGCGAGCCGTTTACTGGGAGGATTAGATACTCGGTAAATGAGCTAATTCGAAGAAATAGCACCGTAGAAGTTAGCATAAATTAATCCTCAATTTATTTCAAAAGAATTAAAACAGTAGTATTTAGAGAAGTGTTGATTTAAGCAATGGATGCAATAGGGTTTTCACTTGGTAACGACGAATGAATCGTGCTGAAAGTTTTTAGTATACGGAAATTAATTCAAGGCAACACCATTCAGCCATTTTTTTAGTCAAGTATTTAAAAAAATATGTAACAAAAAAACGAGAAATATTATTTTCGATTAAACGAATTTTGAATAAATTCGTGTTTACGTGTTTTATTAATTTGTATGTTTTACGTGAATTTGAATGTTTCTTGTGATAATTAATTTCACGCTATGCATCATGACAGCGACAAACGTGAGAAATACAGCAAAGCTAATTGAAAAGAAACAAGTTACTCTGGAAGAGTCATGACAACAAATTTGAACAACAGCTGGAGATGTTCTGGTGTGTTGTGCTAAAATTCCCTTTTGTTCTAACATTTCGTTCATAAAATTGAAGCAATTTCACAATTTCCTTGGGAATTAGTGTCAGAAAAAATCCATAAAACTTTACATTGAAAAATTGATATTTAATACCTCTTTACAATGAAGTGGTGTAAGAGATAAGCGAGTGTCTAAAAACAATAGGAAAAGATAAATTTGAAAGAATACATTGATATTACATCCCTCATTTTATGTGCATATTTTGAAATTTTTTGAACTTGTTTAATGGCTTTAAATACATTTATAAGTGTGAGTGCTGTACCTTCTACTGAGAAGACAATTCGTGGTTATATTTATATTGTTTAGAACGGTAACATGATGGACATGATCGGAGGTGAAGCAATTTCACTTCTGGTCTTACTTCAACTAATAAATGATTGATAGACTATAATCATATATACAGTGCTCTGCAAAATTCATGGAGACATACCAATGTACTGATATATATTAGTATCAATATTCAATGCTATTTACATATAATGAAAATACGACAAGCCATTAAAAATAGCACTGCCGCGAAATAAGCCTGCATATACTTCAGCGCAAATGCACGAGCACGCTACGATGTAGTTGGAGCGAGAAAAGGATGTCGTTTTTACTGGAGATGTGTAATATTTCTTACAGTCAAGTTCTTTAAAACATTAAAATAATCTGCCTTCTTTTTTAAAAAAATACACACTTTATACTATTTTTCAGTAAGTTATCCTATGTTAACGTTCAACGAGTATTCAAGTTATTTTTGCATACCTCTGTTGGAACTCTTTCTTTCGTTGATAGGAATCTTTTGTCCTCCGATCGAGAGATGCTTTACAAGAGGGATTTAAGAAGCAACCAGCTCACTTTTTTAAATGCGGTCTATAATTTATTTCTAGAATTGGGGTTATATTTTAAACGAAGGAAGAAATGTGTGTAGACTAGACCAGTCGTGACTTTGCTGTAATTACGGTAGTGTTTTTTCTGTATATGATGTATTACGTTGCTACACACGTGTGTTTTATCTGAAAGACAGACATCGGGAAATAATTCATAATTTCAATGAAACTTGTTTGGGGGTCAGTGATACATGAAATCCTTAGAATACTATTACACAGCTAGGCATTATGTCATATGTCATGTGGTATTATTCCCTGTGTTATAGAATAGTGGATAACTTAATACATAAACGTTTCCTACACTCTCGTTTTCGTTCTTCAAGTTGTCCAAACCCGTGATTGTAGTTAATGTTTGGCAGACGCACAAGTACGAAAATGTTCTCAAACTTTTCGTAATGCAGGGTAAAGATCAGAACTCCGACGCTTTTCCCCATATGACATTAAAGTGTTTTTAATTTTTCAAACATTGTCGAATTATTTGTACACCTGAACGCATTTTATAATTTTCCATGTAATATAATTTGTAATATAAAAACGTACCTGGATGGCCGAGGTGGCTAGAGCTTGTGCCTCAGAGCCACGGTCTGAAAGGTTCGAGTCCCGCCGTGGGCATGGTGGTTTGTCCCTTGTTCTTCATGCATGTGTTATCGTGGAAAGCCTTGTGAATCTGCTGACCACAGAACGAGAATCCCGCAAAGCCCGCCCGCGTGTCTAGTGCAAAGGTTAATATGAGTCCCCGTGAGGGACATAGTGGGAAGAAAGCTTGTTGGGTAGTTTTGTATTCAAACTTACAAATACTGTTGCATTGACAATATCAGTGTTTCAGAAATACCAAATTTTAGAATAAGAAAATGTGTACTCTCAGCTTTTTGATATTAATTTCCATTGAATATATGTAGTAAAAATTGCTAGGACATTTTTTATTATCTCAAATAGTTTCTTGTGCAAAATACTACGATAGTACTTCATTTCATCACAATCAGAATTATTTTTTAAAACTTCGTCACAGCGTCACTCTATCAAGACGAAGGATATCTGTGTTGTACGTTCCAGTTCATCCGACCAAATATTTTGTGTCCCGAATGTACTCAGTGGTCTAGACGGTCAGAAAAGTTCCTCTGGAATTTGTGTTCCCTAACCGGCGTGTTCCAATTATCGAGAGGATTACCATTACGGAGCGCGTGTCCACCTAACAGACCTTGTGTCTACGTGGTTGTTAGCACCTCAGATCGCGGCAAGCGGGCTACCCCACTGGCTCATTCCCAGCATACCTAGGCTCCATGCCAGTTTCCCCGACGAGCATTGTAATGAATGGGATACTCTCTTCGCGTGGGTTGCATTCAAGAACGATGCGAGATGACCCGTGGTACAGCGGCCAGATCACTTCTCTCCAACCATAGGACCAGGATTGAAATCGCTATTACTTCACGTCATATTATTGTTGGGCGACGAAACGTATTCGAGTTTTCGTGAAGTGCTGGCGTTTTATCTTCTTAATCGTACATAGCCATTTACTTCATATTCAGAATCAACATTTTCTTTGATTCATTCATTCTGTTCGAATTCAAACTGTTCAATCGTATTTTTATAGAAGCATAAGTATCATTCGTGAAGACACTTGAATAATTGTAAATGTTCATGTAGATAAGTGAATAATACAAAATTGTATCCAAAAAAAAATTTAGTCAGCCAGATATATTTTGGAGTATTTCTTTCTTCCTTCAGTGGCTTCTAGAATTCTGTGCAAAATTATGTTTTGTATAATTTATCATACATGATAAATTGAGAATACACAATAGAAAAACTACTCAAAACCATTCTGGAACTAAACATAAAATTATAAAATTGACTCACAATAACTTTTTTATTATTTGTTAGCTCATTTATTACACATGTGAAGCCAATTACAAGACACGGTGTTGTTAGTTTAAAGGCTTTTCACTACACCTTTCAAGGGAAAGGGATTCTTTTCTCTCTTTCTTTCTCGTTCGCTCTATATTCCTCTTCTCTTTCCCCATTTGTTTCCATTTCTTTCTTTTTCATTCTCTTTTCCTCTCTCCCTCTTGCCCTTTGGCCCTTTTTTCTCTTTCTCTTTCTTTCTTGTTTTCTCTTTCACGTTCTCTCTTCTTCTTTCTCTCTTCCTCTTTCTCTCGTCCGCTTTGTCTTCCTTCTGAGGCATTTATGCGAATTAACAGCACTTATGTGAATTTGTGTGTATAATTTCATTTTCCGTGCCGCCTCACTCCCAGATTAAGTACAAATTATGTCATCTAATACTTCTTTGTGACACGCCACACTAGGACATTATTGAATTAAGTCAGCTTCATATGGAGGCTCAAATCATTGGAGTAAACTCTGAAAATAACAAACAAAACGTTGTTTTGTAAACAGATTTAACGTATTAGTTTGTATAATTTACGCATTACTATGAGCAAAATTGCAGACACCTCAGCGGATAAAGAGGTAACATATATTGAAATGTGCATTGTGTTGCAGAAATGAAGCTGTACTATTCAGAGCGACGAAGTGCCAATTTTTGACAAGTTATGGAGGGAGTTTGGAGATATAACAAAGATTTGATCATTGCTATACTTGTACTTTTATA